AAAACTAAAAGCAAGTAGTAGATACAGATTTTCTTCTTCCTTCCCTAGTAATTATATTTTGGGGCTTACCTAAAAACACGATATTTCTAATCGAACCGCTGAGTACGATAGGTCTGTTGCTAACCTCGAAGTACAGGATTTACTTACAAATTTGCCAGATTAAGAAACATGCTGAATGCTGAAAATGGCAACAGTTGGCTGAATTGGGATTACTTTTACGTTTACTGTTGTCGAGGCGTGTTTCCATGTCGACTGGCGTTAGCACCGGCAACGATTCTGCTCAAACTGGAGTCAAGACGAGATCTGACATGTGCGGTCTACTCCGCATCGCTGTGCCCAAACCACGGCCTCGATATCGCCTCGTCGTTTCATCGGCAGTTGCAACAGGACTCGAAGCAAGGACTCGCGAATTCACAGGCAGACAACAAATTACATTTTATGGGCATGAAGTTAGTCGCTTAAAATTCACCTCTTTTTATACAGAACTACTCACTGACAGACTACTCACTTTGCCGTTAGTAACAGTTTCGACTCGCTCTTCTGTGCTTCTTCATGACATGTGGCTATAGACAGTGAAATGATGGGGGGGGAATACAGAAAAAGCAGATGAGACCGGCCCTTGGTGTCGCCTGGTGACGGTCAAATTTGCTGTCACAATCAACTTTTCTCTTCGGATGAAGAGAAAAACCAGACGAATTGAACTTGCCAAGACCTACCGATAGTGCCGGGTGGCAACAATTTGGCAGCAATCACTTCGGTGGCCTTACTCTCTTTTCTGTCGTCCCCATGGCAACGGGAAGAACATCCGATTCTGAGACGACCGAGGCCGACGAATCCAGCTGGATGCCGGTGGCGAATCGTAATTCTTGTTGCTAGGAGGTGAAGAAGCAAAAGTCAGAAAGGGCAGCCGAGAGTGGCGATTCAGCGGAGCCGGACTCCATTCACTTCTGCGGGGACTCGGCCTGTGCCGGGCGGCTCGAGAGTGGATGAAGTGGCCAAGAGGATGGACAGTCGTCAGGCAGAGCGGCTAGCAACGTT